GCAGCAACCGGCGCTTACACTTATATTACCGGCGCCACAGCGATACCCTATACAACCAGTGCCACACAAAACACCCAGTACCGCCTGGTGACTACTTGTGCTACCAGCGGCCTTTCAGATACGTCTAATGCAGTAACGGTCAATATCACACCCCTGCCTACAATTACCTCCATCAGTGAAACCCATGTGGGGGCGGCCTATAGCTTTACGGCAAACGGGGTACAAAATGCAACTTCCTATAGCTGGAATTTTGGGGACGGCAGTCCGGTATCAACGGCAACAGCGCCCTCTTATACTTATCCAACCAATGGCGTTTACACGGTGACCCTTACGATTACCAATAGCTGCGGCTCAGCCAACCGGACATTAACGATCACTAATCTTGCTGGTTGTACAGGCAGACCTAATGCGGCTGCCATATCCAGCAATGCAACGAATGCCTGTGCTAACGGCACCGTCACGTTAACGGCAGTGGGGCACTCTATTGGCGGTAATATTGTGTATCAATGGCAGTCGCGCCCGCTGGGTGGCGGATCTTATACCGCTATTGCAGGTGCAACAACTACTCCGTATATAGCTACAGTTGCCCAAAGCTCCGAATTCCGGCTGGTAACTATCTGTACAGGCAGTGGCCTTGCAGATACTACTGCGGCGGTGCCGATTACCGCCAACCCGCTGCCTGTTGTTACCGCTATCAGCGAAACGCATGTTGGCGGCACTTATGATTTTACGGCTACCGGCCTGACCAATGTCTCTTCCTATAGCTGGAGCTTTGGTGACAACAGCGCGCTGAGTACCAACCCGGCACCAACTCATGCCTATGCCGCTAATGGTACTTATACGGTACGCCTGGTGGTGAGCAATCCATGTGGTACCGATACGGCCTTTATGGTCGTTACCGTAACGCTGCCTGTCTCTTGTACCGGCACCCCGGCTGCGGCTACACTGGCTGCTTCCGTAACCAATGCCTGTAACAATATTCCATTCAGTTTAAACGCCACCGGCCAGACTTCCGGCACAGGCATTTATTATAAGTGGCAGTCAACGACTGCGGGCGGCAACACCTGGACCACGCTAGGTGTCAGCAC